AGTGGGTGGCACGTCGAACGAAAAGCCACCCAGCCTCGCCTACTCACTAAACCTCCTCTGTACCTTTAACGACCGTATCGGGGGAGGATCCTGAAACGTTGACGGAACAACACATCACGAACCCTCCCCCTGGTCTTGGCCCCAAAGGGCAACATACTCGCTCGTCACTTTTTAGTAGCCACAGCATGCTCACTTTCACGTCTGATCAATCATTCGATAACACATACACACCCGCCATAACAAGGGGGAGAATCAGTAGAGTGAGGAACAAGAAAGAACACACCCGTCAATGAGGGGAATAACCCACCCAAATCGGGCCTAATTCGAGTTGTGTTACATGAAAATACACGTCTTCTTAGAAAGGTATTTAGAAACACACCCTCAAGCTGTTATTTAGAGTAAGAAGACAATTCCCTATTCACGAACCATCAAGTGTGTTCGTAAAACACAATGTTACTAGGGAACACGAATCATTGAAAGAACTGAGACCGCGAAAATCAGATCGACAGTTCTGAACTCGGCAAGGCATATACACATGTAATTTATCCAATTCCAGTTTTGGATAGCCCTACAGTCTGCCTCCCTTCTTAATTCCTTCCTCGCACGAAGAGAGAGAGTTGCGGTCTCCGCTCCTCCCTCTCTCTCCCTCCAAAACAACTACGCAAGTCGCTCCGCTCTAATCCCGGCTAACAGTGTAGACCCTATGTTTAGGTTAACTTGAATAGTACTCATTTTAGGTGCTCGATATCCATGTCATCCGCATTATTCAAAGTGTCGTTCCCGTGCGTGCTGTTATCCCGACTGGTGGATTTCCTCTGCGGTGATTGAGATCCATTGAGCGATCTATCCTTCAGGTTATGTAGAGGACCAGGTAACACCGGTGGACACTCCTCACTGCCAGCTCTATGTCCGTCAGGTAGGCCCCTCTCACTGCACACAGGACAGTACGGGCGACACTTACACCTATTTAATTTATGTGTCGGATCTCCACAGATGAAACACGAGCCAGATCTGTCTACATTGCTGGGACAACGATGTCTGGTGTGTCCCCTGGCGAAACACTTGTAACACCTAACCGGCCTTGCCGGAAGCAGGTCCACTCTGACAGCTCTAACCCATCCCAGTTTCATATTGCCCACACTGGAGAGCTTCAACGCAGTCTGCAAAGGGCATTGCACCCAAACAATTCCAAGGCCATCTCTGGCGATCCTGATTGGACCAACCCTGACGCTCTTCGGGGGACAGCAGCCAGACGCAGAAATTTGCTGTCTGATCTCGTCTGCCGTAACTGAATCATCAAAACCCGTGAGTTAAGTTAGTTCTTAAATTTGCGTTTCTGTTCGGCCTGTTGATCCTGACTCTCGGATCATCTATTACAGTTCTCATTTTTTTCAACCAATACATCAGCTTTGTCGGACGAGTCAGCACCTCTCAGTTCTAAAAAAACTCCACCCGAGAAGGCACGTCTGACCCTGGTGTCCAGGCCCTCGAGCTCCTGGTGAGGGATACTCTCTCTAGCCTTCCTGAGAATAGAGGCATATGACGGACCGCCATCCTCCACAACTATTGAGACAGCCGCCATGTTTGGAGAGAACGCCTTCGGTTTGGCTCTCCTGGGAGCCGCAGGACGAGGAGTACGCTGTGGAACCGGGTAGTTATCCTTAATCCTTTCAATTTGCTTGTTTCCTCTCCCGAAGTCTGCATCCGATATACCGTTGCCTGATCTTCTTCTCTTATTTCTTCTAGGAGCTTCCCATCTCTCCGAGTCTCTTCCCCCTACATCAGAGGATGATGCGGGCGTGTTATCCGCCAGTGACGGCATCAGACGTGGCCTCAGATGTCTATCCGTTCTCTCACGCTGGGTCTCCAGGATGTTGGATCTACTTGCCTTCCTATCTCTAGCTGCTCCCGAGTCATCAACCAACAACGACCTCATCGCGTCCGTAAAACGAACAAGTAACTCATTCGCTACTTTCCATTTTTCATTTCTACTGCTGTCTGCTTTATTAACATTTCTTCCGTCATTCTCAGTATAATTAAGATTTTTTGTTCTAGGTATCTCCCGTGCCGCCGCAGAAGGACGACCATTCATACCCTCATCCAAGCGAAGCCTGGCAACAGCAGAGTATGTTGGCCGATCCGCAGGATTACTTTCAAACGAGGACCTCTTGCTATTGAGGTTATCCGTGAGTACTTTTACTGACTGCCTCAACATCCTATTTTCCTCTTTGAGTTTATTAATTTCCTCTCTGAGCTCCTGATAGTGGACTCCTTGTATAGCTTCCTTATTCCTAGCCTCTTTCCTGGAGACAATTTCCTCGATTGCTCCTTTCGCAGACCAAAGGTTGACCTTCATCACCTTGCTAACCGGGCCCTGCAAGGAGCTAGATTTCCTGCAATTCTCCACTTCGCTGAGCCATTCAACAACTTGATTTCCGGCATCAGCTACGCTAAGAAATTTTATCATATTCTTTCTATCCTCAATTTCCAATTTCTGGCCTATAGTTAGACGATCTCTCTCTCTTTATTTTTAGGAGAGGAGCCCAACCTTCTTTTCTTGGATCTGCCAGCCGAATAAGCAGGACTCTCCTCAAAATTAGCAGAGGATTCCATGCCTGCATAGGAATAAGAGACAAAGCTCACATCGTCGTCTGACTCAATCAGACTAATTACTTCGTCGGTTTGCCCATCCAGATCCTTGCTACATCCAGGTAAGTTACCACTGTCTCTATCTTTGCTACGGGAACTACCTTCCATTGAATAGTCAACATATTCTTGCGATCTATCTACGTTCGTGATTCTAGGATCTGGGAACCTGACCGGATCCACCTCCGTATTGCTAAGGGTCTCCTTGGGATAGGAGTCACCTCTGCCAAATGTCTGGTCACTCAACTGACCAGATGCTTCAATGCCTACCTGCCCTACGTCAATTAACGACGATCTACTGGAGGCAGGGACTCGACATCCAGCGCCACGACCCTCCTGCTTTCCCACTGTAGGGAGTCCCGTTATTTGATGACGACCGCACAGAGAGAGAGAGCGGGTTCTCCCCACGAGGCTGCCCCACTACTATCCGAGAAGCAGCGGGGGGTGATTTATCCGTTTTCCTGTGCATATCTATTTATTTAAATTGATTTTTTAACAGGAGTAGTCCTCTCCTGTTCCGCCATTGTTATGATGGAGTGGGAAGTTCCAGCATAGTCATCAACATGTATCCATCCAGTAAATATAAATAATAAATTTGGCATCTTCAAGTAGTGAGTATCCTCCATCCCACGATGTCACAATGAGGACGAAGATCACGATGTTCCAATCGTCGAGAAGTAATCACTCAGGTAAATAGTTTTTAAAGTACTTAATAAATTCAGATCATATCATATCCTGGTTTCTGTATATTACAACATCGCCGCTATTTAGCCAAAAAGTATAACTAACAGAATATAATTATCTATTTATAGATCTAATATTATAAGAAAGGGGATAGCTCAACTTGTAGGCAGGATTCTCCTCTGCTACTCCCTCGATACGCAGCAGATTACCACCTCAAGTAGTTCCCAGAGCTTAATATCCAACAGAAAGGGATGAAAAAACTATCTACGCTGACCTCAAAACTAAGTCCCTGCGAAAAAGCGTGCCTGGAGAGTAATCTGCCAGGACTACAGAAACTGGTGGAGGTATGTGTTCAAGAGAACAAATAATAGTGTATTCTATTTATAGGTCCGCCAATTAAGGCACTGTTACTCAACAGAGTAAATATCTAACGCTCCTAATCATGTTAATAATATAATGTGAAATAACATCATTGTTAATAATATAATAATCAAAGTTAATAATATAATACAACAACAAATAAAATAATATGACAAGGTATAAGAAAAAGAAAGAAAAAATGACTTTAAACATTGTGATAATATAGGTAACAACTCTAAATAAAGTATAATGAAAAAGAATAATCCTTATGTAGAAAATATTTAGCACTACATTAATATAATAAAGAAATAAATGAATATAATATGAATATAAATAAAAGATCAATAAATCAACAATACACTGAATAAAGTAAATTAAACTAACTAAAGACATATAACAAAAGAAATAAATAAATAAATAAGTAAGTAAATGCTACACTTATATATACAAAAATAAAATAAAAGTATTAGCGGTGAGGCGCAAGGAAAATATAGTAAGACCTTGCAGCACAAATAAAGCAGTCAAACTAAATAAAATAACGCTAGCAAACGATTTAAATTAAAAGCAATTACGAATAATATATTAAACTATATGTACATGTATATGTGTTAATGACTTAAGTAATACGAATCAACATGATTAGAGTACATCTCCTATCTCATAATTACACGTGTCCAGAGCTATTTGCTCTAATATAAATTCATCGCCAAAACTATTCTATTTTCCATCCAATGCAAGTACAGCAAAATAAGCTGAATCGTTAAAGTAATTTAGAATGTGACTATTTATTCTCAAATGCTTCCCAAAAATTTTATTGTTTCCAGGCATAACATCCCAGCCCCATGAGAAAGAGCAGGGAAACGACAAGAGAATAACTTAATAACGTCGAGGGATATTACATTTTATTTGTGAGTATCATACATATCCTGTAGTAGCTCGTATGACACATAAAATTAAGTATTAAGTTCCGAGTGAAAATATTGCATAGACTATATTATACGCAATTAATTCTAAATTTTTAAATGTTCGTGAATAATAGGCCTGACTATAATCTATTTCTAGTTAACAGGTATTGCTTAATTAATAAGTATATAAGGCTTAATCAATATATATAGCGTTAGTGTATCTGATAGTAATAATTATTTACAAGAACTTGACTTTATAATATCATTTGTATCTTATATTGCAGAATTAAGGGCACAGTCACTACTCCTGTCAAGGAGGGAGGCAGACGCCGGGCAAATCAACTCTAAGTATTCTCAAAATATATCAATTATTATAGAAGAGGTATTACAATAAGGCTAAGGCATGTAAAGTTTATCATAATAAATAAACTTAATTAAACGTCACAGTATTAGAGCAAATATGTTTCTTCCCACTCCCAAGAAAATCCACAAAGATTTCACGTGAAACAGAGCCAAGATAATTAAAGTAAAGAAAGATCGGCAAGGCCAAAAGAATCGGTAAACAATATTACTCAAAAGACAACATCACACAAAATAACCATAAAGATTTCGTAAGAACTTTCATGATGTACGCAAAAGTCTTCTCAAGAGTAAAATCATAATAGTAGAACCATATTTCTTGATAATTAGTATCGATTGAACAAAAGAATGACATAGCAGCCAATACATAATGTAATGAGATTCCATCCACATTTCAAAAGTATATCCAATCTAGTCCAGTATGTCTGAATTATGTTTAACAAAACTGAAGAAACGGAAATTTGTGTTTAGGTAGCACAAGTGCCATTTGTAGCGCGTGAAACTCAACAGAATCAATCTTTTTAGTAGACTAAGATGCGTCAAACAGAAACAATACATCAGTCGATTCATCGGTATAACAAGCATCAATGTATGTTTCGCAAGACACGTACACGCTAATCCAGACTGGCCAAAGCTATAATTACATAGTTTGACAAAGAAAAATCTATATTAAATCTATCTATACTATAAATAATACTATAAAAGGCAGCCAGCGCAGACTTATGTCTGCAATTTCGTAATTAAATTACTAATGTATACCTCGTTCAGCTCATCACGAGCAATATAGAAACCGCACAAGTAATTAACGCGCCTACCACAGGCTGGCACACCTAGCGTAAGCGCTCGTCCGTGTACGCTCCGCGTTTCGACCAGCTTCGAGAAGGTAGAGAAGGACAGATTACTATTGCTTGTATATTGCTGTTATCTTCTTCTTTCTCGATCACGCTCGATTCTTCAATGCTATGATTTTCAGATTTCGACTTGCCGATTATTTAAAAAAAAAATATTAGATTTAGTTGAATTCTTAAGCAATATACGTAACTAAATAAAATGAAATATAATAATTAATTTTAGAAAATGTTGAAACTCATCTAATTTGGCAATACTTTATAAAAGGAGAAATTGCTATGTGCAAAATGTGTGGTGAATTAATGAAAACTCTAAATCCTTCCTTAAAAGAGTTAGAAGATCACATTAGAATTGCCGAATTGGCGGTGTGACGCGCGATGTCGTTATCAATTTACTTTTATGAACTATATTAAATTAATTTAAAAAACACATTAATAATTATGTTAAAAATATACGTACACACACACACACACACACACACACGCATATAAAGTTTATTTTAATATATTATTAATATATATATATAGTTGTATAGATGTATATATTATTACAATAAATATACGATTTTTTTGTGCAAATATAGTAATATCCATTTAAATATATTTCTATTTATAAAGTATCTTTTATATTAAAAATAATTAAATCACATTAGAATCAAAACTTTTTAAAAAAGATAAAAAATAACACTAAGTTTACGCGCTGTTTTTCTTATTTATGTAAAAGAAAGAATTTTATACAAAAATTTTTGCGGCAATATATAAATATTATATCATAAGTATATATTTATTTATAAAACATTTATATAACAAAAAGCATGAATTTAACGCATTATTAAGAAAAATTTGACAATAATTAAAAATTTATATCAATAGTAAATAATATTGAAACACTTCAATTATATCTAATGCTTTTTTAATAATTATGAAAATTTACCCGGATTGACAGTTTTTAATAATATCTCATTGATTTTTTATTTCTTGAAGAGCGATTAATAATTGATGTATGATTTACTTTGATTATTAGAATTGTGATCAAAATTATGTGATTAAATATAATATCATAAAATTTATTTAACAGACTAGATGCTTAATATCTCAGAAAAATATATCGAAAACATAATTTCATAAAAGTTACTTCAAATGTATATTATTTAAATATATTAATATTTTACTTTATTTCTTTTTTTTATATGTTTTTAAATAAATTTGTGTTCATGATATGTATTTAATTTAATTGATTATATTCTTATAACGTTGCGGTCGATTCCACTTTGAATATAAAAGACGCTCAATGCGGGAAGTCATGGGCGATCGGCCAGCCCTGCAAACGAGTATCTCACCAGCGGCGCAACCGAGATTCAACTTTCGGAGTTCGCATTGACGCAAAAACGCCCTGTTGAGAGTTCGATACATTTTTCTTTTTTTTTAACCGTCACAACGCCAGGCACGACACATGCGTCGATCCGTGTGCTCGCGGATCACATTCACGCGCACGTGGTCCGATTCGCGCGTTCTTTTATTTTACAACATCGTATGTCAGCCAGGTCCGATGGTTCCGACGCTTTCGTGCTACCAGCCAAGACGGCTTCAGTTCCTGTTCGCGTTACGCGATTCATTTTTTTTTAATATAAAAGATATCTTTTGTAACAAAAAGTGCATATATTGGCCAAGAGTGGACTTTTATATTTACAAACTATAATTTTTTATTAACGTATAAAAATGTAATTTATATCATAATAATATAACATATTTATTAATGTCAAAATATTAAAATGTATAAATGTATAAAGTTAAAAAATGTATAAATTAGAAATCAATTCATTTTTACACACCTATACCTATATATATAATGACTACAATCATTCTCAAAGTATTCTTTTTTTTGAAATTATAGTTACGGTTTTTTAATCTTAGGAATATAAAATTACAATAAATGTAAATAATGAAGATTATAAGTGAAAGAATTCGACCAAAGAACGGAATATATAACTAATACTAACTAATATTAACAATTATATGATTGTTATTATTTCTTAATTAATATTCAGTGTATGAATTATATTCCTTAAATAAATACTAATTTTTTCTTAAAGTAACAATCTTTTTCACTTGTAACCTTGATCACTTACATAAATATTGAAATTTTATATTTCGTAGATTAAAAAATGTAATTATTAAAACTTAAGTAATATTTGACTTTTTAATGCACTTTTTAGTATATACAAGAGATAGTATAATTTGTGTAAACTTTTGTTCGTATTACTCATTTTCCTTTTCATATTTTTGTTAATATTTCTTATATAAGAGAGCGAGCGTGATATGGCAGCGCACTGTCTACTATGCTAGCGGTCTCGGGTTCGATTCCCGGCAGAACGAAGAATATTTTTCCTACGCTCGTGTCTCTTCTTCGGCGGTCTGGCAAACTACCAAGAGTATCTCTTTGCCACGGAAACCTTTCTCAATTAAGCCGTTCGGATTCGGCATAAAATTGTGTAGGTCCCGTATAATACTAATACCTACTATAACCTAGTATTTATATTAGTACCTAGTATAATTCTAGTAACATTTAAACATTAATGACCCCGATAGCAAAACCTGGAGAAACAGATTTTGAGCAGAGCCTGCTACCAATATTTGATGGCAAAAAAGCACAACAAATTGCAGAGTCTGTAATATGTGACGTTGGGAGCAAACCCTGTCCTAAAAAATAGGACAAAGCCTGCTGTAACATCCGCAGAAAATTAAAACTTGCGGACGTTCATCCGAAATGACGTAGATGCAGTCGAGCAGTACCTTAGGTTAACGCATGCGCGATTTTAAATATTAAGATATAACTTTTATCATTTTACAGTCTTATCATTTTATATATATATTCCTCTTTTTTTTGTATAACTTTTATTATTAAGATAATTAATAGTAAAGCGAGAACTCATTTTCTTTCGTCTTGCGATAAGATATAATTTTATTTTATTATTATTATTGTTTTCTTTTGGAGATATATATATTTGGATATATAATTTGGAAATATAATTTTATAACTTAATTTTCTTTTTTTCGAATCACCTCTTCTTCGGTTCTCGATGCTGCAACTGTAGAAGAGACAAAGAAGTGTTCTTAGTTTATACTAAAGGGCAGGCTTATCGCACTCAAATATTCCTAATATAAACTTTCCAACGAAGGGCTAG